CAATATTGTTGACAGCTATGAACAATGTGGGCAGCAAAACATTGTTCAATCCTGTTTTCATCAGTATTGCATCAACCTGAGCGTTTTTACGCGTGTATGTGAAAAGAGTGACTCAACGCTCTACCGAAAGTCGTGTGTTTCCTCCCAGAGGGAATGTTGACAGGGTGGTTTGGGATTATCCCCCTAACTGACCCTTCCACCGTACAGGTAGCTGCTCTGATCTTACATGAGTCGTACGGTGGCTGCCATTGCCGCCCTTAGAAAGCCCTCGACTCCATCAGGTTCTGCGTCCTTCGTAAAGATGATTAGCACACCCCACTAGGCCCACTTACTCACTTACAGTATTTACTTAAGGAAGATCGTGTTTCTTAAATGACGTTCTCTTGACCTCTAAGCGCCAGCTGAGCTAAAATGAAACTTTTGAAGTGCAAGTCACCTGACATTGTTTTGCGTAGTAGAAACAGACAAATATATATTTTAGGCTGCATGACTTATCTGTTAACACTTATCTGTTACCCAATTTTTCTTGAGCAAAGTTTAGAAGTTGAACAATATATTATATATATTATACAGTAGTTACGTTTTTGGCTGATCTAAATTGTGAAATTGCTGGCTAAACGTAATTGTGAAAACGGCGTATAATGCCGATTTTTTTACTGTATCTAACACTCTGTTTACAGTAGTTATTGCCAAAACCGCGCATCCTTCATCTCGCCTGAAAAAATGTGTCTTTTTTTCGTGTCGAAACATTCAGGAATGCGACTACATTACTGTTCATTACTGTCGAATTACTGTTCACTACTGTACTATACATTACTTTGCTGTTCATTACTGTTCACTGCTGTACATTACTGTTCACTATACTATGCATAATACGACTACATCACTGTTCATTACCTTTCTAATTACTGTACATTACTGTTCACTACTGTACTACATTACTGTCCATTACTATATATTACTATACATTACTGTTCACTACTGTACATAACTGTCGAAAAATTCAGGAATGCGACTACTATTACTGCTAAAATGTCAAACTATTAGTAGCAAATTTTAGAACAATTTCAGATTTTGCCATTTCCAAATTGTCGACTTCACAACGTTAAAGAAAATTGTCGCATTCCTGAATGTTTTGACATGAAAACAAGACACGTTTTTTTGGGCCTGAGGAAGGATCCGCCGTTTGGTAATATATTAGAGAGGTTCGGATATGACTTCCACTGCCGCTACCACTACAGTACCTTTCACTAGCTTAGTAGTACCCATCTGATTGGTTAATCGGATATATTGAACGCATCTGATTGGTTAATCGGATATATCGAATGCATCTGATTGGTTAATGGCCCCTTAATGGTAGAGGTAGCGGTAGTGGAAGTCAAATTTGAACCTTTATTATAAGCAGGAAGGCAACGCGTGACGATAAGATGAGAAAATCTTCAAGTGATTGCAAGTGATTTTGTCGTTTGTTATTTATAGTTAATCAGAGATGGGAAGAACAGTCGACAACATCAAACGGATCGTTTGGCGAGCTTTCACAGGAGAGTATGAGGTTATAATGCACACAATATGTTTATGAAATGAAATTTTGCCCCTATTTTTTATTGCATCACTGGAAAGTATGTTCAAAATAGTGATGAATGGCTTTTCCAGTTTATTCATATCTCATTTCATTCCCAAGTTATCGGGCATTTTGTATGATGCTTTGTTGAAATACCTTTGCTTCCATCTCAAGCACAACCAGTGTAGTCTTCACTCAAAATCTCGAAAAGGCCCTGTCCACATGATACAAGGATTTGTTTCATCCGCAACAAAGTGTTCAGACCAATGTTATATTAATAGCATATTCAAACCAAATTGTCCTGTTTGCTGGACCATTGAGGAGTGTTTTTTTTCTCCAGATTTCCATCAAGTATCGATAGTACTCGTTATGTTCGAGGAAAATTGGCCACAAATGATAAACCAATGACATTCAATCAACCTTGGACAGTGGAAGAACAGGTTCGCTTTCATTTTAAAACATTGAATGCCTTTTAGAGAGTGGCGAAGGGGGGTGGGGATAAACGTTAATTCTCGAAGCTAAAACTCACTAAGTCTCGACCTAGGACAACGACGATTTCCTGGAGTAGCTTGATGTGTAAAATCGCGTTAAAGCGTTTGTATATATGGTTCCAAGAAGAATGTATTTGCTTTAGATTTTCAACTCCTCACAAAGCTAGATTCCCCACAACTCGGCAGTACATTGCGTTGCAAGTTGCATGAATCAAGTATCTTTTATCTACTTGTCGTTTCAGAGAAAGTTAGAACGACTTCTTCAAGTATTTCCCCAGGAACCTGTGGAAGCCAAACGTTGGTCTAAGATTGCAAACGCACTCGGAAACAGAACACCCAAACAGGTACGTGCATACCATATTCAAACATTTTCTGGTCACATATCTGGATTTGTCGCCATGCAACGAAGTAGTGAATATATCATTGACAAGAAGGAGTATATTAATCGTGATTTGAAAATTGATGTAACGGAAAAGATGGCTCCACCCTATTAATTTAAGGGAGTCAATTTAACTCCCAGTAGAGATATTTTGAACCAATTCAAAGTTAGCTCCAGATGTGGAGTAAAATTCGGTTCAAACTTGCACTTAATTAATAACTTAAATACATGTAACTCCTGAAATTACAGTGAAGCATTATTGTTCTTTGCTATTGCGAAATGCATAGAAAACGTCAAACAAAGAAATATACTTTCGACTACTTTTGGATAGCAATACTTTGGAAGTAGTTCAGATCGTTGAAGAAATACAGTACCTTGTGTGTCAGTTTTGCATGTTAGTTTTACTTTCCATTTGTTTTTGTCAAATATTTTGTAGAGCTATGCAAACTCAGGTTATAATAGCTCCGGCAGTCAAAACGAAATTTCATATTTAAAAGTAGAAGCAGGCGAAAGTGTTTCAGTGTAATTTCAGAATTTATTTTATTCCTTTTTGAGCTTTCTTCTTTACTTATCAAATATACGTGCTTCGATGCTTGTATAAACAATGTTTTCTAGAAAGTAAAACCGCATGGCAGCGTGATATTTTCGCCCAAATTACTGTACATCGGGGTCAGCGGATTTTTGCATCAAAAGTGATAGCAATGCGCTTGCAGAATTTTCGAAGCCACGAATCGGATCGGAGCAAGTAATTAAACTTTATGTAATGTTTAATAAACGAGTAAGAGTGTTTTATCACAATATAAAACACGACGCGTAGCGGAGTGTTTTATATGTGATAAAACACGAACTACGAGTTTATTAAACAGCTTCAAAAACGTCTCAGTTAGATCACGGCATTGGCGAAATAATTTTCCAAAATAACTTTGTATTAGCTGAGAAAATCAAAGTTAAAGTTTATGTAAATGAAGGGAAATCTTTATCAACATATAAAGATACGACACGCTTATGATTTTTCTTTGTGTTTTTCTCATGAATTATTAATGAGTTTTTGAAAGTAACTTCAAATCATTCAACTTAGTTTTTTCATTACCAAAAGTTCATTGAAATATGAAATAATTTTTCATAATTTTGTCTGCTGGAGTTTTCCAACTCAGGCTCCGGCTCTGGCAAAATATGCCGGAGACTCCGGCTGCGACGCACAGCTCTAGTATTTTGTGAAAACTTTACTAACCAAAAAATTGAATGAACACGGCATAATTATGAGTGTTTATTACAGTAGTATTAAGACAATGATATGCACTGTAACGGATTGGTTAAACTGTGGTTAATTAACCAATTTGAATTGGTAATTGTCTCAGATGCATTTTCTTTTGACCAATATTATTTGGTCAAAACAATCGAAAAATTAGTTAAAATAACCCAATTTTTGGTTATTTTAACCATTGAAATATTGGTCAAATAAGTGTACATGAGACAACCAATTCAAAATGGTTATTTTAACCAGTCTGTTTTCTACAGTGCACGACACAGATTTCTTTTTGTGTTTTGTTTTGGTTTGGTTATTATTAATGATTTAAATATTTAGGTGGCTAGTCGTGTGCAGAAATATTTTATCAAGTTAGCGAGGTCCGGTCTACCTATACCAGGACGTGAACCTAACCTAACTCGTGTTTTACCCAAGGCAAGTGAAGTACTATTTAAAACATGAGTAGGAGTGTTTTATTAGATATAATATCAGAATTTATCAGAATTGCTTCAAAAACGGTCGATCTAGTAAGTTCATTGGCGAAGTAATTTTCAAAACATATATATGTTGTGCAAGTCGAGAAAATCAAAGTTAAAATTTATGTAAATCAAGGGAAATCTCTATCACATATAAAGATACGACACGCTTATGATTTTTCTTTGTGCTTTCCTCATGAATTATTAATGAGTTTTTGAAGGTACTATGAAGTCACATGCAGAAGCAGTATGAGTGCTGTCGAATCTCCTGTAAACGGACTACCTCAGGACTGAGTCATGATTGTGTCCGCTTACAGGGGGGAACAAGTCCTGGTGTCCGCCAGGGATTATTTTAAAGAAATTGTATTACTGCACAAAAAAACATAAGATAGCAGCATGCATGTCACACAGCGAAGGAGCGCTGAGAACAGCTTTCTAGATACTACGTTATTCCGTGCTGTACCGGGAAATCCAAAACAAGAAAATTTACGAATTTGTAAATGGAAACCTATGAAAAGGGAACCAACTAGGTGATGAGAAATTGCAAAAGACACAACTTTTCGTGGGACCTGCATGGGGGTCCTTATATATACAGAACATTTTCGTACTTAGGTTGATTTCTTACATTTTCAGACACAATTTTTGATACATTCCATCTTGAAAGATTGAATATTGGGCCATATAAAATTCGATATAAAATTTGAAAACATTAAGTGAAAACCAGAATAACTTATTGTCTTCCTTGTGCTTATCGTGCTTTTAAACAATTTAAACATAATTTGTGATGAATTATGCACTCCTTTCGCGAATTAATATCACCTATAGTTAAATATTAAATAAAATCAGTAGTGCACAAAATCCCATTTATCACTGCACAAATCCCATTTATCACTGTACAAATCCCATTTATCACTGCATCTTAAAATATTTCCTGGTGTCCGATTATGAGAGTTCATTAATATTTGATAATTATTGTAATGCTATATCCTAATTGTAGACTAAAAATTTGTTACCAAAATAAAAAAAATACAGTATGTTTGCCTTCGTTCATCCCCTCATCACAGTAGTCCGTATAAACTACACCAAACTGGGGTCGATTGTTAGAGAGGGAATGTTTATTAGATAAGGAAAATTTATTAGAGAGGTAACTGCGCCACTAACACTACAACTGGTAGTAAGGGTGGATTTGATAAAGAAATTGGCACCCTACTTGTACCCCATTTTTTGGCAAGGTTAGGAGTGCTGCACACCTCTACACGTTACCCACAGTAACTCCATCCCTGCTTGCTGTAAAAGTTTCTTTTTCTTTATGTATTCAGCAAGTGCCACGAGTTCGCAGTACTCAGCAGCAAGCTGTGAATTTTCGGAACTCGACATTCTTTCCTTCGTATAAACCACGTGTGTATATGGAAGACAACGATGATGTAAACAGTTTGGCCTCGTCAGATGATCTCGCGGACATCTCGGTAGGTAGCCTCGCATACCACTTTCACAAATGGCTGACAATTTAGATTTCTTTTATGTGCCAACTGGTTGCAGGTTATCATGTTAACATTTCAAAAGAGCTTTAATTCTCAAACGAGGCTTGTGCTATTATATTTTAAATGCCAGGATTATTGGGGAGGATGGCCGACCATGTGTGTACCAGGCAATATTCGAAATATTGCGTCGTTTCACCTGGAAAGCCCGATACAATTTTTGAATCCTCGTTCCCGCCGTTGCCTGGGACTGACGTAACACGTAAAAACGCACAAGTTGTTACAGATTTGCTCACAAGCTGTCGGCAAGTTGTGTTCGCACTGCTTGTTCCCAGTTGTTGTACAGTAACAAGTTCGGAAAAAGCTGTTGACAACTTGTAACGAACTTGATGGCATTATCAGACTTGTTACAAGGTTGTTCTAACAAGTTTGATACAGTCATGATATAACAAGAATGTTACAAGGTTGACGACACGAGGTTGTAACAATATTGTTATATCATGACTGTATCGGACTTGTTGGAACAACCTTGCAACAAGTCTGTTAATATTGACCAAGGTTGTTACAACTGTTCCATACTTGTTGTTCCATACTTGTTGACAACTTGGGGCAAGCAGTGCGAACACAACTTGTTGACAGCTTGTTGGCAGACTTGCTACAAGATGTGAGATTTTTACGTGTGTATGCTACTGCTAGCCAAGTAACGTGGCTATCCAGATTTCAATCTAGGCACGCTAGTATTCCTTAGGCGAGTTTAACAAAACATTAGCATCCTACACACATAAAAACGTACAACTTGTAATAAACCTGCAGCAGACTTGTACCAGTGCTGTTTCAACAACTTGTTATCAGGGTTGCCTGCATGATCGCAACTTGTTGACAAATTGTGAGCAAAAATTCATGTTGACTTCAACAAACTTGCTATGAGTTGTTCCATCTTGTATGACAACCTTGTATCAAATGACAACACTATTACAATTTGTTGACACTTTGTGGATTTGTACTTTGTTCGAAGAGGCTTGGATGGTGTAAACTAGCATTTAGTTATTTGTATATCTGTCGTGAAAAACATCTTCAATCGTATGATACTGTAAATATTTTTTTGCTTTTATATCAATTTGTCAGGATGATGAAACCATTCCCAAAGAACTACGAAATACTAAAGAATATTGGGAAATATTACAACTGAAACGGCTGAAAAGAAAACGAGCTGAACAACAACACATGGTGAGCTTTTCAATCATTTTTGAAGTGGCACTCGCGTCAAAATTTTTATTTTCTTAAACGAAAATACTCTTAAAACTGTATAGTAACTTTGTTTTGAATATTTTTGTTCCCATGCTTAGTTCTTGAGATATTTTATTTTGTTTGTAACCATTTGACGTCAATGACTCAATTACATATATAATGAGATATCAGTAATTGTTGTGTACATTTGCTATTTTTTATCAAATCTTTTCAAAGATGTGGCCCGTTTGTTAATTTAACCTACAGTACATCATTAAGCATACTGTTTTTTTTAAACAAATCCATCAAAAATAGCATATATATATATATATATATATATATATATATATATATATATATATATATATATATATATATATATATATATATATATATATATATAATAATTTAATAATTTAATATTTTAATACAATTTTTCAATTGAATAAGTTGCTACTTTAAGTTTCATGCAACAAGCAATCATCAGGCAACATATTAATACGGTTAAGTTGTTATATATATATATATATATATATATATATATATATATATATATATATATATATATATATATATATATATACTGAAGATTCCACCCATTTCATGTAATTGAGTCATTGACGTCACATGGTTACAAACAAAATGAAATATCTCAAGAACTAACTACTAAGCATGGGGATAAAAATCTTCAAAACAAGTTACTATACAGTTTTAAGAGCATTTTCGTTTAAGAAAATAAAAATTTTGACGCGAGTGCCACTTTAAATGTGTAATTATATATGCGCGAAATACCTAAAATTTTAACAATCTTCGATCCCCCCGCCCATATTCAATGTTGAGTTACATGAGATCGGAGCGAAGTCAAACCGGGCCCATCTCGTTTCGGTCATAGTATTATTTATAATAGATGTTTACATGAGACCGGGACGAAAATAACTGAGACCCGTCTCAAGTCATTCCGTTTGCTGGACCGAGCCGAATGACTTCAGACTGGCATGATTTCAGACCGGGATGAATGTAAACAGAAATACATTTCAGACCGGTCTCGGCTGTAACCTTGACATTGGAACAACACATGCTAACAAAAGTCATCTAAAAATTGAAAATCCTTTCTTCTAAGCCAAAATATTTCTTCGAATGACATTCCCAGGATCCACCACTATTTCCAGGTACTCTCAGAAACGAGGCTGCATGGATATTATCTAGGCTCGATTACCAACCGGCATTCGGGATATTACCAAACGACTTTCATTAAAATTTTAACCAGCTCGAAATTGATTTGGCGGTCAAACGCGAGCGATCAGGGCTTAAGATGTTTTTGTTTTTCTCTGTTTTCAGTTAAGCAAAGTGGAACATGTTGGATATGTGGTACGTACAGTATATGTGCATGGGTAAATATTCAAGATTTTTGGCGATACCGCTTGATAGAACTAATTGTTAAAGGTTTCTTTAAGGAATTTTCGAACTAAAATGATATACATACACTCCAAAAGCTCTACTAAAGCTCTTAAAATAAATGAGGAGAAAGTACCGCCTTTACAATGACATCAGTAAATGGTTAGGCTAAATCGTATGGTACCTCGGATCCCCTATCAATTGATCAATAGCTTGTTGGGAAATCCACTCACGGATGAGTGAGAAACTCATTAAACTAAAATCTTACTTCCTGATCATAGTCTGGTTAATATAACCAGGAATCTGGTTATATTTGACCCAGAAGGTCCTTGTTAGAATGAACGGACTATGTGGTACTTGCATGGTTGAAAACAAAGAAGCACCAGACCGTAAGTACACGATTTATCCCACCCTGCTTATAAGGTATATGGGTATATGCAGTTTTACTGCCAAATGCTTACAGTATATAAACGCTCGATCTGATTGAATATTTCAATTGAAAGGCTTTCATACATCCCTGTATGCAATAGCTGTGTTGCAGATTTTTGCACAGTTATAGTTATTAGTATAGCCATCGAAAATTTAATGTACAAAGAGATGGATTTTGACATTTGATCTATGGCGGAACCAAAGTTATGGCTATTTAAAGTGAGTAGTCTTAAAACCAATTATAATACTTAAAAACAGCTATAGTACTGCATGATTTCAATTGCACATTGAGTGAACCTATTTTGATGATCTTCGTGTCAAAATTCATCTCTTAGATTCAATTTTCGACACCCTGTATATATTTTCATTCCTCACCGACAACGGTCATCCTCTTTCGATGGAGATTATTTATGTCGATGATTTTATTCCGTTTTTATAGTGTGATTTGTGTGGAATGAGTCCAATCATTGGCGTACGTTGGCATTGTGTAGAATGTCCTGGGGACAGAAGTACAGATTTCTGCAGTGACTGTGTTAGTATGTAAGTATTGGCTGATTCACACTAGCAGTATTGTCGGGCATTTTTATTTTTTGAATGGTATATCAACGTATAGAGTCCATAACTCTCCAGAAAAACGCCCCCCCCTAAATATTTCCTCATGCATCAATTATAAATTTAAAATTTTTTCATAATAGAGCGTTCGCACTCATTCCCCAGGGACCAACTCAACAAAACCAAATGAATTCAATTAGCCTTTCTCACGCCGCCATTTTTGTGTGGCATTTCAGCCGAAGTCTGCGAGATAAGTCCACATAACAGCGACTTTTTATAATTTTTTGGACAAATGATGGTAAATTTGATTTGTAAATGGTTAGTTTATTTTGAAAAATTGCTTTTCACATTGTTTTAATTGTCTGCATTGGTTAGCGAGAATTGGATGCCACCCAAAAATGGCGGATATTCGTCATCGTGAGAAAGGCTAATTGGACACTCTGTCCAATCCTGATTTTGAGATCAGTGGCGCTAACAGTTATTCTCGAATCTTCGTGCTCGCTGTTTAACAGCAGGCTACGTTCCTATCCTGTACAGATAATATGCGGGTGCAGGGATGAAGGAGCAGATTAGGATTGTGTATGCTTAAGAAGAGAATATTTTGTATGTATAGGTAATAGCATGGTTTCGAGTGCAATTTGGATATAACATCCACGAGTGAGTTTTTCAAAGACCTCAAAATAGCACGAGTCCGAAGGACGAGTGCTATTTGAGGTCTTTAAAAAACTCACGAGTGCATGTTTATCCAAATTTCACGAGAAACCATGCTATTACTTATTAATAATTTACATAAAAATGTTCGATACAATTGTAGTTTTAACTTACGCGTTTATAGCGAACATTCCACTGGCAAAGTTTTCCTGGCCAAATTATATCACATTATACAACGCTAACAGCTTGAAAATTCCACTCAACTATGTAATTTTTGTTAGTCTTGTTTAAGGTAAATGCTTTTCCATTTAAAAATAAAGATAAAAGCCATATTTTCCACGCGAAGGCAACTGTTACTTTGTGTAGCGAGGCGCCATGTTTGTTTTTGTTTTCAAGCAATCTGTGACCGTTACTTCTTTAAACTAAATTGCTTTAAACTGATTGGTTGATTTAATCATCACAATGTTTTTCCACCAATCAGATCAGTTTGTTACAGATTTTTGCACTGTGATTACAGAAAATTGCACTGTGATTACAAAAAATTGCACTGTGATTACAGAGAATTGCACTGTGATTACAGAAAATTGCACTGCTGTTTGGGATTAACTGCACCGAAATCAACCAATCACAGTCGAGTAATATCTTTATGTATATTATTAGATACGTAACACTCGTTCAAAAGGAATGGATATACTTTTCCATTTGATTATCACTATATTCATTTTGTCAATACACGTTTCTCAAGCGGCAAACAAACTGAAGACGTTTGTAAAATTATGCTAAAATGAAGAGATTTTAGATGGTACACCAAAGAGAAAATGACTTCTGAAGTTCAGTATACGTTTGGCTTATATTGTTGTATAGATATGGCGTCAATTTTACAGCATCAATGATAATTGTATTTAAAATGACAATATTTAACTATAATTATTTTGAGTTTCTCAACCGCCAGTTAATGTAAAAAGGTTGCTAAATAAACTGAGGTTTATTGTTTGTCCGACCCGAGTGTATTGGTGTCCGACCGAACTATAGCTTTGTCCGACGTAAATCAAAATGTTAAATGGAAAATCAGAATACTATTGTATAAAAGGTGAACTGGAAATGTTGTTTTAATGTAGTCGAGCGCGGGGCGGCGAGCGAAATGGTGAAGTGGAAAACGGGCTTAAGTTGTCGAAGTCTTTTTGATACTGCTGTTCTGGAAAGCATGAAAGAAACAAATTATCTTTACAACATTTACCATTTATTCATTTGTGTCATTCAGACTTATTTCCGAGTCAAAAACGAACTGAAGGTGATCGGACATATGTCCGACCCAAACTCAACATCCCGGATATTTTGTCAGACGGCCCTGGAAAAGATATTTTAAGGCCTGGTATGATCAACAGAGCTAGTGTTAGCTGCAGTCAAAAATTCGTTTTCCCAATTACGATTATAGCTGGCAATTTTCTTTTTCATTATTTTTCTGTATAGTGAAAAAGATAATGGTGTCCATCGTAGTTCACATAAAATGGAGCCAATTGATTGGACAGAAAGTGACTTTGTTGACGGAGATTATGTAAAACTGGGGGAAACTTCCAAAGGATACAATTATTTGGACCCAAATTTTTTACCTGCGGCCACGTGACCTGTGATGTGTGAATTATTCACTCTACCATCATTGACAAGGTTAGTTGGAAGTGTTAATGTACGTAATATATTTCCCTGCCCCACCGACCCTATTGCAAGAATGAATGTTGCTGGTGATGATTGTGAAAAAGTTTTTTTTTGTTTTAACAACTTTATACTGGACAATGTCTACGCGCGGCAATAGCGCGAACAGAGTCTTATGCGCGAAACTGTCCCGTTTCAATTCACAAAGATTATAACAATTTACAAACTACACTGCAAAAAATTATGTGTAAATTTTACACAAAAACGTCAGTAAAATTTGCATCCACAGCAACACATTTATATGTGTAAATTTACTCAAAAATATTGGTAAATTTACACATTGGTTGTGTTAAGGAGAGTGGACAACTATTAATATATATATTGTTTACATTCATATTAAAATAATTAGTGTTTTGGACGAGCAAAAGTACTGGGACGAGAGCGTGTTCGTGGTTCGAAAACATATCGTAAAAGGTTTATTTATCGAAGAACAAAAGTGTTATTTTCTCGTTTATTTCATAGTTTCTTATTAAATTGTTTATGAGTTTATTATTATACCGAGTGGAGCTATCGTCTACTAAACATTTGGCGATCCTGCCAGGACGAATAAAAGAATTTGGCGTCTAATTTACGTGTATACTTCGTTGGAATTTGCGTGCGAATATTTCGTCGTGACAGTTTTGGTGTTATTATTGCGGGTTATCGTCTATCTATCGCTTGAACGTTCGTGTCTTTGTTGGGATTATCGACTATTTGTGGCAGCAGCTAAGTAAAAGAAACTGGAATACTATAAACTTTGAATATTTGTCGTAAAAATGTGAATTTTCAGTCCTTTGTATTAAAATATGTTTGGGATCGTATTGCATAATATATGCTAATTTATGCAATATATTCAGGTTTGATGCTTGAGGCATGATTTATGCCAAATTTTCTACATAATAACATTGGTAAACAGGAATTTTCGAAAGACATACATTAGGGCCTGTTTACATGGAGGTAGGGTGACCCTAGCAGAAGGGTTACCCTAGCAAGCGGGTTACCCTACTGCAATATGTTTTATAGGAAGCGTTTACATGCGCGCTAGGGTTACCCTAGGGGTAGGGTTACCCTATCAAACAGATAGGGTGACCCTAGCAGCAGGGCTATCTTTTTGTTTACATAAGCCATGTAAACGCGTCAGGTAGGGTAACCCAGCAAGCGGGTCATGTTTTATACGTCCTACTGTGACAGACAAACAAGGATATGGCGTCGCTAGATTATACATATGAACATATCAGCCTGGCGAGTATTTTAAACGACACCAGAAAATAAAAAGGATAAGCAATTTACAAATAAGGAAGCAGAGGCATAGAACGAAGCTTTGACTTTGGACGAGAACGCTGCGAATGATGTAGTTTCGATAACAAATTGTCAAAGACGGCGAAAAGGAAGCAAAATTCCGGCGCATCCTCATCGACGTCAAAAAAACAGGTCAGCCGAACATGTCGAAAAACTGTTGTGTTGGACTATATCAAGGAATACATTACGCTTATTTACGCAATGCGAGTAATACTGTAGACCACAACATTGAAATAACAGACCACGATATTGAAATAACCTCGGAAATAACAGACCACAACATTGAAATACAGCAAGCAAAGGCCCACTAAATAGCAGAACACAACTTGCCGCTAAAACTTTGCGTCTCGGCGCAATTTATCTAATACAGACCGCTTAGCGACCACGCATAGGTAGGGTTACCCTATCCAGCAACATAGCCCTAGCAGTAGGGTCACCCTACCTCATGTAAACGCTCGCGATTTTCTGACCCGTTTGCTAGGGTAACCCTCCTGATAGGGTCACCCTACCTCCATGTAAACAGGCCCTTAGAGGAGTAACATTCTACCTATATCGTTGAAAATAAAATAATCTGGTCGTTTGTTATAACAATAACTTTGCTAATATTTTAAATTGTGTGACTATTAACAATGTCAGGGGATGAGTCAGAACCGATTCAAAGCAGTGTGGAGCAATCCACTGTTGATGAGGGTATGAAAAGCCTTCATATTTCCCTGGAATTAGGTCGTCGCAAACGTGCAAGTAAACGGGATACAACAAAAGTAAGACATCAACTTGAAAAATCATTTAGTGTGTCAAAAGCAACGTTAAACAAAGAAGAGATTGAGCATAGGGTAGAGGATTTGTGGTCGTCACTAGAAGAGACACAGAATATTATGGATGAATTGTCTGTTTATTACTTGGGGGAAAAGGACGGTGAAAATCAAAAGGCATTAATGAAGGAATCAAACAAACTAGAACTGGAATGTCAACAAGCGATCGAAAAGGTACAGGCTGTTCTGATCTCAGGATGTTTTGAAAGCAACGCTACAGTCAGTCAAGACAATGATAATGACGAGGTAACTAATGGTACCAGTTCTACTGCGAGTAATTTGATGAACGAAGGACAGACACAACCCACTGTGACCAGTAACACTGAGCAACAAGCAGTGCAAGGCGCAATCGATCAAGGCGCAATAGGAACTAGTATGATACAGCAAACAGTGGAGCAGAATCAATCGAGTTCATCAAGTCCAACACATACACCATCGTACACGGGAGGTTCAGTTCTAAACCGCCATTTAAAACCACTAAGAGTACCTGATTACAATGGAAATAAAGCAAAGTTTGAAGAATTTTGGAGCCTATTTGAAAGTTTAGTTGACAAATCGAACGAGCCGGTGCATCTAAAGATGGCAAGATTGCGACAGAGTTTGTCTGGTCGAACTTTGGAAGCGATTCGTGGTTTAGGAGTATCAGCACCCGAGTATGATGAAGCGAAAGAAATAATTCAGTCGAAATTTGGTGGGCAGCGACGTAAATTGAGAGGTTACATGGATGAATTGGAGAATATGCCGACTATGCGTAACAATGATGTTAATGCCTTTGAAAAGTTCGCTGACCTAGTTAGGGTAACAGTTGCGAAATTGAGAGCTGATAATCAGAATTAGGAGAAGGAACTTTGCATCGACAGCTTGTGAAGAAATTATCGGATCGACAGTTGGAAAGTTATAGTCGATGGTTAAGCACTCGCAGCAAGGAACAGTCTGTTATATGTTTGTGTGACTGGTTGAAGGAAGAGGTGACTATTAAAGTGGAAGCTGCAGAAATGGCTTATGGTCTGGAGCAGAAATATGCTGAGTCAAAGGGATACCAGAACAAGGGTGATAAGCCAGGATTTCGGTCATACCGTACTGGAAAGCAGGGAAGCTATGAGTCATACCAACCAAATATGTCGGGAAACGCAGTGGATACAAAGCCGCCTTGTGCATTTTGTGGTCGTACTGGGCATGGTATCTGGAGTTGCCACCAGTTTCAACAAAGACCAGTATTAGATCGCTGGAAAACTGCTAAAGAGAAACAGTTATGTTTTCGGTGCCTTGCCACTGACCACCATGGTAAAGATTGTCGAAGGTCACGCCAGTGCAACATAGGTGGGTGTCAACTTACACATCATCGATTGCTTCATGACCCAGAACACAAAAGCAACAAACCAGACCTTCCAGAGGAGAAGGTCGAGTTCAAATCCCCACGGGAGGGGGTAATGGATGAAGCGAGAGTGGTTACCACGACAACTGGTGAATCTAACCATAAAGTACAGATGCATTCTCTGAGAACAATCCCTGTATGGATAAAAGCAAATGGAAAGAGAATTAAGGTAAACGCAGTACTTGATGATGCTTCGAACGAAACCTTCCTAAACGAAGAAGTCGCCGGATTTCTTGGGTTAAGCGGTAAATGGCAAGATGTGCAAGTCCATGTGTTGAATGATGCAGTGGAGACCTTTAAATCCATACCTTTGCAAGTCGAGATTGAGAGTACAGATCGTCAGTTTTCGAAAGAAATTAATGTTATAACTTGCCCACATGAAGTTACTGGGAACTACCGTGTAGTAGATTGGAACCAATACCAGAAGGATTGGCCACACTTACGTCCGTGCAACTTCCCAACGCCAGCGAAAAAGACATTCGTTGACCTGTTGATTGGAGTGGATAATCCAGAATTACACTTTTCCGTAGTTGATTTTCAAGGATCGCAAGGCGAGCCAGTGGCACGACGGGGACAACTCGGATGGACCTGTATAGGACCCCCAGAGAAGAATGGAAAATCAATCGTGAGATCGCGTGTGATGAGAACACTTTGCACGAAACAGGCAACAATCTTCGCCAATCCAGACTGCTGTAACCTGGACGAAACATTAAGAAATTTTTGGGAGATTGAACGTGGAGGAACCGAGGTGAATACAAAGATACTAACACAAGAGGAAAAGTCAGCCCTTAGTAAAGTTGGAGAGTCGTTGCGGATTGTTGATGGAAGATATCAAGTCGGAACACCGTGGAAGAAAGCACAACCACAGTTGCCAAACAACCGGACTATGGCTATCACACGCCTGCGTTCTACGGAGAAAAATCTAATGAAGAATCCGACCGTTGGTGAAGAGTACCAAAGCACTATCGAAGCATACTTGAAGAAAGGCTACCTCCGAAAGATTGATCCAGCCAAAGAACTGCCTGGAGCTTGGTACCTGCCTCATTTTCCCATTGTTAGAATGGATAAGTCTACAACCAAAGTTCGCATAGTTTTTGATTGCTCAGCTAAACATGATGGGATTTCTCTGAACGATGTTATCCATGCTGGTCCAAAACTGCAGCAAGATCTGTTCAATGTCCTGATGAGATTCCGTCGTAACCCTGTAGCTGTTGCTTGTGACATTAAAGAAATGTATCTTCAGATAGAAATTCCTATGGAAGACCGCCCATATTTCAGAATGCTCTGGAGAGATCTTGATCCTGGACGTGAACCGGAGGAATACGAGTTCAGCAGAGTTGTTTTTGGTAAGAATTCCGCGCCCATGGAGGCACAGTTTGTCGCCCAGGAGAACGCTCGAAAGTATCGGGATCTTTACTCATTAGCCGCAGAGACAGTATTGAAATCCACCTACATGGATGACTCTATTGACAGTGTAGAAAGTGAAGAAGAAGGTGTGAAGTTGTATCACGAGCTGAAAGAACTTTGGGCAAAAGCAAGTATGGAAGCCAGAAAGTGGGTATCCAACTCGCCTAAGGTATTAGAAGTGATTTCAGAAAAAGATCGAGCCTCCGAGATCACCATAAACGACGGTGAAAACCCCACAACGAAAACACTCGGACTTGCTTGGAACAGTCAGAAAGATGAATTCAAGATTCCGACATCAGAAATGCCACGATTACAGATAACCAAGAGAAACGTATTGAAGAAGATCGCAACGATATTTGATCCACTTGGATTCATTAGTCCATTTATCGTCATTGCCAAGATACTACTGCAGGAACTGTGGTCTAGAGGTTATGGATGGGACGACGAGATTAAAGATGAAATTGCTTTGAGATTGGAACAGTGGTTTCATCAGTTGCCTATGCTGAACACGGTGACAGTACCGAGATGTCTTCGTGCTGCAGAGCCAGTTCGTTCGAAGGAAATTATTACATTCGCAGACGCCTCGAAAGATGCCTATGGTGCTGTGGTGTATATCCGACATGAGTACGAGAACGGAGCAGTTACCTGTCGCCTGGTAGCTTCAAAGTCTAAGGTGGCACCTCTTACCCCAACAACTGTTCCAAGATTGGAGCTGATGGCAGCTATCATGGGATTGCGGTTAACTCAATCAATCGTCCAAGTCTTGGGCATTCCAATGCGAGATGTGTCGTTTTATTCAGATAGCATGGATGTACTGTGGTGGATTCGTGGAAGAGGCAAAGATTTCCGAGCCTTTGTGGCGAACAGGATTGGTGAAATTCAGAGTGGTTCGGATCCAGCCCAGTGGCAGCATGTACGTACAGATCAGAATCCAGCCGACTTATGTACGAGAGGCGCAAGTCCAACGCAGCTTGCTGAGAGTTCGTTTTGGTGGGAAGGCCCAGATTGGCTGATGAAAGGTCGTGACCAGTGGCCAAAGATGAAGACAGAAAACCGCCCCGAGAACCCACCAGAGATCAGATCGACTCATGCCAAAAGCGTCAGCAACATCACATTAGCAACATGTGCAGAAAAGAAGTTGGATTCCGAACAGGAGCAGAACGAATGGAGATTGGATCCGAGACGCTTTTCCGATTGGTCGCGGTTGACAAGGTTACAAGCCAGAGTTCGAAGAGCGCTGTTCAACATGCGTCATAAGGGCCAAAGACGAACTGAAAAGGAACTGACTTCAGAAGAACTCAGGGAAGCTGAAATGGAAGTCATTCGTGCCGCTCAGAGTGAAGTTTTTGGTGCCGAGTACAGTGAAATCAAGAAAGGAAGACCTGTTTCTGCGAAGAGTCAGCTTGTTAAATTGAATCCCATAATTGATGCAGATGAAGTTATCCGATCACAAGGGCGTCTCAGTTTCGCAGAGCAACTACCGTATGACGTGCGAAGTCCAATTATCCTGCCACGAGGACATTGGGTTACGAGATTGATAGTAAAACATTACCACGAGAAAGCGAACCATGCAGCTGGAGTAAATTTCATTCTAAACGAACTGAAGGAGCTTGCTGGTCAGTTAGACGAAGAGAAAATCAAACGGAAAACTTCGGATAAGAGAGTTCGATGGTTGTTCTACCCGCCTGCCGCCCCACACTTCGGGGGAGCTCACGAAATAATGGTAAAGGCTGCAAAGAAAGCGATATACGCAGTATTAAGCAACAGTGATGTCAATGATGAGGAATTGATCACCATCTTTACCGGAGCTGAGAGTCTTATAAATTCCAGGCCGTTAACGTATCAGTCTGCCGATGTTCGTGACTTAATCCCGCTGACTCCAAATCATTTCCTTTATGGCCAGATGGGTGGTCAGTTTGCCCCTGAAGCTGAAGAAACGACTGGATTTCATCCACAGCAACGGTGAAGGAAAGTGCAACATCTAATATCGTTGGTATGGCGACGCTGGTTGAAGGAGTATTTACCGATGCTTACTATCCGTCCTAAATGGACACAAGTGGTCAAGGATTTGCAAATCGATGACGTTGTGTTAATTGTGCAGTCAAATCTTCCTCGAGGACAGTGGCCGTTGGGGAGAATTCTTAATACCTTTCCAGGCAAGGATGGACACAACAGAGTTGCTCAAGTACAAATTGGGGACAAAAGTCTGATGCGACCAATACACAAGTTGGTTCCCTTAAATTGTTGAAACGTTTGTCAGTTGATATATAGATTTCTATTCGCACTTGAACTTGATGTTCCCAGTGCGGGGAGGGGGAATGTTAAGGAGAGTGGACAACTATTAATATATATATTGTTTACATTCATATTAAAATAATTAGTGTTTTGGACGAGCAAAAGTACTGGGACGAGAGCGTGTTCGTGGTTCGAAAACTTATCGTAAAAGGTTTATTTATCGAAGAACAAAAGTGTTATTTTCTCGTTTATTTTATAGTTTCTTATTAAATTGTTTATGAGTTTATTATTATACCGAGTGGAGCTATCGTCTACTAAACAGGTTGTGTAAACATCACACAAAAATATCGGTAAATTTACACAAATGAAATGCATCCACAGCAACACATAATTTTGTGTAAAATTGCACTTTATACATTGAATCATTGATTGTGTAAACATTACACAAAAATATCGGTAAATTTACACAAAAATATCGGTAAATTTACACAACTAAAATGAATCCACAGCAACACATGAGATAAAAATATATGCATAAAGATAACAATAACAGATATAAACATACACCAACAGGCTCCAATATTCCCAACGTTTCCTGCAACATTTTAATTTCGATCTTCAACTA